TACTACAGCATTAGAAGATTTTCATGACTTCAAAAAGAAACCATTGCCTCACCCTCTTGCTCTGATTTACCAAGAGAAGACTAGCTTGTGTTTACTCTTGAAGACTTCAGTGGGTTGGAGGAGCGTGGTACAATTTGGTGGTCCTGCTTGACATAAAAGAACAGCATATCCAGACAAACACCTGATTTCCTTTGCAATAGATTGGAGGAAAACTGTTTAGTAGTTTGAGGCTATAAGCCCTTTTGAGATTTAGGGATCTTTTCACGCTGTTAACAGCCTTCCCCAGTTGTAATTATCCCTAAAACGTGTGCATAAACCAGGCATAGCAGTGCACACTTGTAATCCTAGCACTCCAGGAGGCTGAGGTAGAATTGTAAATTTGAGCCCAGTCTGGGCAACTTAGTGATTTAGTGAGACCCTGGGTCAAAATCTTAAAAACAAATTAAGGAAAAGGAACTCTGGGGAATGTAGTGTGGTACAAAGGCCCTGGGTTCAATCCCAACCACTGAGGAAAAAAAAAAATGGATCCCAACCACAGTGGATCAAACAACAACCACAAAACAATTTATGTGTAAAACTTTGAGCAAGACATCAGAGATCCTCTAGAATCCACCTATGGTATGAATATGTCATTAATTTGTTCAAAGCTAGGTAGCAAGATTGATGCTGGGCCTATTTTAAGGAGTTTTTGATTTTAGAGTTAGGTTTTTTGAAGTACAGTTTATATACAGGGAAGTTCACCATGTTCAGTTTATTGACTTGTAGTTTTAGTTACCTATCTAGCAGTTTTGCACACAATATAACCAGTTACATACAACTGTAGAAGTAATACGTTAAACCACATACACTATACAGTGAAAATTTTGCATATATTTTCTTGATTTTTTTTTTTTTTTTTTTTTAAAGTATATGTATCACCAGTATAATCCCAGCACTGAGGAGGCTGAGGGAGGAAGATTGCTGTGAGTTTGAGGCCAGCCTGAGCTACACAGTGAATTCAAGGCCAGTTTGAACTACACAGGGAACCCTGTCTCAAAACAAAAAAACAGGCAAAGTGTGTGTGTGTGTGTGTGTGTGTACATCCCTTTGCCAGTGGAGCTTTTGGAAAATGTTAGCTTCATTAGCATGGTTAGTGTATGTGTAGTCAACATTGTTTATACAGCAAGGTATTTAGTATATGTTTAGTCAACATTGTTTATACAGCAGGTATTTAACTTTTGTAATGTTGTGTCTAGAGTAATAAAAGTTAAGGTGGCATGAGCTCAACTGTGGAGCCTAATTATTAATTACTGAAAAGATCACACTTAGAAAGAATTAAAATAATGACTCAAGGAAGCATGTTGAATCAGCATGTGAGTCTCTGCAGTCGCTTCCTTCACTACTCCCTCTCGGCAGATAAAGTTCTACTGTCAGTGTGGCTTTTATTCAATGCTAAAACCTAAGTGGTACCTTCCCTGTAAGAGGAACTTTCCTTGCTGCCTTAATTACTTAAGATAGGATGATTAAGGTACCTTAGTAGAACTCTTAATTACATATGAAATAAGACATCTTAGCTATTGAACAATTTTTACTTAGTCTTCGGTATTATAATTAGGTTGCTTTTTATTTTAAGGAATTATATGCTATGTATTTTCTCTTTGATTCGTACTGTGAAAGGTTTCTTTTTTGGGGGGGTGCTTTTTTTTATTTCAAAAATAAAAGGAGGAAAACATTAACAGACATGCCCTCTGAGGTGGAGGCCCCAGAGCTCAGACCCATGCTACCAGTTAGTCCAACAGGAATGAGAGGGCTTGGGGCATGGCCTGCCTTCTCCCTCTGGCCAGACCGTCATCTCCATCAAGGAGCCCTGGGTAATCATGACTATGGAGGAACAAGAAAACAGCCTGTTGCTAGACACAGGTGCAAGTCTCTTGGTCCTTCTTTTCAATCCTGGCCTGCCTTCCAGCCGTCATACCTCAGTGAAAGGAGTCACTGGTGAGGAGGTAATATGCTATTTTTCACAACCCTTAGGCTGTAACTACTTATTAGATCCTTCTTGCATATCTCTGTCTTCCTGAGAAACCTCTTTGAAG